GTATATACACACCTAATGCATGTGGTGTGCACCATCTGGGGATGGACACACTTGAAGCTTCGACTCAGGTCATCCAAAGGCAATATATGCAACCTGAACATTTGTACCCCCATAATATGCTAAAGCAGTGAAGTGTTATTTGAGGATAGATTTGGGTTAGTTGTAAATGTATATTGCAAATTCTAGGGCCTAGGGCAATCACTAAAAATGGTAAAAACAAAGAGGTATATCTGATATGCTAATAAAGGAGAGAAAATGGAATCATATAAAATGCTCGATTAAAACCACAAAAGGCAGAAAAATAGTGAAAGATAAAACAGGAACAAAAAATAAAGGCAACATTCTGCAGAAGTTATGTGCTGAAAAAAAAATAAAATAAAATAAAGGCAACAAATAGAAAACAAATATGGCGGCAGACACTGATCCAACTATATCAAAGATCACTTTGAATAGCAATGGTCTAAATGAATTACCAATGTTCTACCAATCAAAAGACAGAGATTGTGAGAGTAGATCAAGAAATAAAACCCAACCATGTGTTATCCTCAAGAATGCCACTTTAAATATAAAGACAAATATAGATTAAATGAAAATGGATGATGAAAGATATAACATGCTAACACTAATCAAATGAAAGCCCAAATAACTATATTAATTCCAGATAGCAGGTCAACTGTCACTTCTACAGGAAGCCCTTCTATAATCACCTACTTAAAGGAGAGTTCGTGGTCACACCAACCATATAGTCATGGGCTTTTGTCACTGCTTGTATGTCTATTCCATAATAGCTTTACAAAAGCCAGGATTCTGTTTACCTGTTCACTGCTAACTATCCACTCTCCCAGACTCCAGGGCTTACAGCCTAATAATCATTCCTGTGTAGAAAATAAATTAGAAGCTGGGAAGAGAAATAGCAAAGAATGCAGTTAATCTAGAAAAGAGATCATGGTAACATTCCTAAGAGTAGAGTTGAGAAAAGGGAACCAATTCAGATCTTTAGGTAGTAAAGTCAGCAGGACATGACAATTAATTACATGTAAAGCCAAGAAAGTATGATGGGAATCAGAGATGACACCCTGGCAACTCAGACTGCTGGGTAACTGGTGAAACTGTTCACTAAGCTTGGGAAACATGTGGAAGCAGATTTAGGGAAAGATAATGCACTTAGATTTAGTTATTTGGCACTGGAGACACCTGTACAACAGCTAAGTGTGGCGGTCAGGAGAAAAGAAGTTGGGAGAGGGAGTCTCCAGAATGATTAATACACAGGTGCCACCTGAAGTCATGGGCACAGATGAGATCACACTCAGCAGGCAAACATAAAGTGAAAAAAGAAAAGCTCAGGGCCCCAGATATTTGTGGAGGTCCAAACTTAAACATGATCAAATCATTTTAAACTTTATATAGTATTCCCTTTGTGTTTACAATTAGACACAAAGCTGACTTCTATACAGTACACTTAGTGCATATTCTATTAGTCTGAGGCCTGGCACAGAACTGTTTATGAAACAAAGCTTGGCTTCCTTTATTACCACCGCTTTGGGTATGGTATTCTAGAAACCAACTTATTAAATCACTCTATTAAGTGCTTACTAATGTGGGATTAATTTTCTACCCATCAAAAATAAATCAAAGCATTCTATAACAAAGCATAAAATGTAAACCCAAAAATAGGATTCACACTTGTAAAGAGGTCTATAATTATCAATATAAAATAGAGCCTCTCTCTGCTAATAAAATACCTTTTAAAAGTTTATACACTACAATTTGATGTAATACCGACACCAAATAATAGCTTACTTTGCCCAGCAATTATTTCAATTAGATATGTACATATTATGAATTAAATTAAATCCAGAAAATGTAAAATAATACTTGGAGAATTTGCTTGAAATTGACTTACTTGCAATCAACATTGCCACTATTTTTTATTTTGAAAATGTTTTATAGAAAAATTTAGCCTGCTCTTTCTCTTTGATCCCACAATCCGTGATGTTCTGATTATGCCAAGATACAAGAGCAGTTCCCCCTCTATTAAATTATATGACAGACAATGCATAAGATATAAACAGAAATACAAAGCCATTAATGACAAAATATTTTGTCAGTATCAGAAACAGTACTGTACACAGCAGTAAATACATATGTAGATATGTACATTATATATGAAGCATACACAGTTTGTTGTCTACCCTCTACCTACAAAAGAGACACACGGGGATTACCACTGAAAAACAAAAACAGGAGTACAAAGGGAGACTAGAGGAAGACCTTTACTTTTTACTCTATTAGACTCTATATGGTGTTAATTTTTATATTGAAAATATCCTTGTATTGCTATGTTTAAAAATGAAATGTGAATACCAATGGCATTATACCATCCTGTGGGCACAAGGGACCTATTACACCCTGCAATACGCCAACAGCCTCTCTCAGACAATCATTGATACCATGGCCCCACACATCAAATGTTAAGCTAGTGAACCAAAGTTATATCTCCTTAGGGTATACATATTATAGATTTTATGCTACAAATTCACATCATCTATATCAATTTCCATTCCAAGTGCTTTTGCCTCCTGTTCATTACTGTTCACAGTTCAGTTTGTCAGTTTAATTTTGTGCAGCTGTGTAGGTATCCACAATAATTACAATGTTTACTGCCATATCGTAAGGTTGAGATAAAAAGAGCAATTTAAATGCATATGTTCTGGTCACTCTTTTACTCCCACCTATATACACATACAAACCACCCCCTCCACACACATACAAACACATATTCTAGCTGGTGTTATATATTTCATCTTACTAGCTGTTTTCCCATTACCTTTACACAGTATATCTGACAATGACATAATTAATGATGCTACAGTAAACAGCTAATACATGTAGTAAAAATACATGCACTACAATGAATCAAAATGACATACCCACCCACCACATTCCCTCCACTCATTCTAATCAGATAATGATTTTTTTTTTCCTTGAGTGTACTGCAAAAAAGAAGTGGCAGCACTGGAGGAAAATATTCATAAAAACAGGGAAAAATAAAAGTAAATGTCTCGGTTATTGAGATTAGAAAGGAAGTTCACCTAGAAGATTTGTGTCAAATAACATAGTAATTTGTCAGTTCTATAAGTATTCTGTTTAATCTGAAGTTCCTGGAAACAGGTAGCTCAGTTTCACATGAATAAAAGAGCTAAAATGTCACCATAAAACAATCTTTCTGGAGTTTATACGGTAGAAAAAGCATGGGTTTGTTTCATTTTTTGCTTTTTGTTATTGCTGTTGCTAATGATCTTACATAAATCTGGGATCTTTCTAAGTGTCAGAATTTTTTGTTTACAAAATGAGGTGAAAATACTTCAATTATTTTTAACATTTCCTGTCCTATTTTAATTAGAAAAGTACTGTTCTTAACCTATTTTTAAACTGTATGTTTTGTGTTACTTGGGGATAAAGTATGTCCTTATCAAAACTAAAATAAAATAAAAAGCCAAGAAATGAAAGAAGAATACAATAGATAATGGAATATTATTACTAATGGAATAATGGAATAATATTATCTACTCAGAATATTAGAGCAAGAACAAAGTTTAGGTTTAAAAGAGAAATTAAATGTCTGACTACCTGGGTTCATTTCTCAAACTCCTGAGCCTACTAGCCATAGGATATTTGGCAAGTTGCTTGCCTGTCCATTCTCAGTATCCTCATTAGTAAAATGAACATAGTAATAGTTACCTAACTCTCACACGAATCTCGCAAAATCAAATGGAATAAAGTAGTGCCTGGCACATAGTAGATGTCTAAGAAATATTAGCTCTTATTAGTACAGATTCAGAAACTGAGGCCCAGAGAGTTTGTGTTTTCCCTGAGGTAATTTAACTAGCAAATGACACAATAGCATTAGGACCTGGGACCCCTGATATTTTTGCACATTTGATTTCTTTTCCATTAATATCACTTCATTTGTAGTGTGAAGAAATTGCTTTCAAAGGAGAAAGTGAGATAACAGAAAATCTCTCAGATAATCATGGTCTAGATTTAAAAGGAGGAAAGAAGGAACTCTGGATGTACATGCACACACACACACACACACTCACACACACTCCTAAGAAACAAACAAGATGAGTGGAGGGTAGGGGGCAAGTGACACAGACACAAAACCTCCAATTAGACTTTTTAATATGATGTCATTCATTAGAGCATAATTACATTTCTTATTAAATGATTAATTAGAAGGTTAGGAAAAAAGGTCATGTTGAATGTTAATTATACATCCTTTAAAGAATTTCAAAGATGTTAACAAGGGTACTTGTAAATTAACTCAAACTCTTGGCAGACAACTTGGTATTATCTTCAGAAATTCAAAAGGCACATATCCTTTCACTAATCAATATGACTAGGAAGAATTTATCCTACAATTAATTTGCAGCAATCTGCAAAAATGTGCAAAAAAGGATGCTGGGTGTATTATTAGCAATACTAAATATTGGAATAAATTTAAGCATTCATTAATGGAGAAATTATGATTATGGGGCATTCATAGAATGAAACATATGGGATGTTACAAAACGTTCTTCCAAATAGATTATTAAATGAAGGAAAAAAATCAAGGTAAATAAAAGTTTGTGCCAAATTAATCTATATCTGGATTTTTTCTTTACCCTAGGATATAAATACAGAAATGGGTTGCACATGCAAATGCTACAAAGATACACAAGAAACTTAACAGTGGTTATCTCTGGGAAATGAAACTGCGGTCAAGAAAAACATGGAGAAAAATACACATTTACTTTCACTAAGTAGATATATACACACATCACATAATTTTTAATCATATACATATATTAATTTTAAAGTTGAAGGAAAAATAACAAGTAAAAATTAGTCAAAGATTGTTAAGAAATAGAAATAGGCCCATAGGTATGATGAAGAAAATTCAAATTTAAGAATAAACAACATGAAGGTTTCACTTATATACAGCTGAACATTCTTACCTGACACTTAGCACTACAGTATTTGGCAACTCGGCATTGAGAACATCGCATCAGCTTTTCCTTCCTGTTTAAAAATGATAATAATTCCATATTAGGGAATTAGTGAGCAACATACTATATGATTAAGACAGAAAACATAAATCAACATTGACACCACTATGTTCTGCCCACTCCATAACCTGTCAATAAATCTTCACATATTTTTTTTTTTTTTTTGAGACAGAGTCTCATTCTGTTGCCCACGGTAGAGTGCTGTGGTATCACCCTTGCTCACAGCTACCTCAGATTCCTGGGCTCAGGCAATCCTTCTGCCTCAGCCTCCCAAGTAGCTGGGACTACAGGCATGTGCCACCATGCCTGGCTAATTTTTTCTATATATTTTAGTTGGCCAATTAATTTTCTTTCTATTTTTTTTAGTAGATACAGGGTCAAGCTCTTGCTCACGGTGGTTTTGAACTCCTGACCTTGAGCGATCTGGCCGCCTCTAAATTTACCATTTTAACCATTTTAAATACACAGTTTGGTAGCATTTTCACATTGTTGTGCAACTATCACCACCACCACTAATATTCTTTTTAAAATAAATTTAAATAAAACACAAAGAGATTTCTATTTAGATAAAAAAACTTCACTTCATAGAGATATTGATCTCTCTATATGAAATTCAAAATCCAGTCCATAAACTGGTTGAAAGTATTCTATACCCTTCAAATATAAAAATTTTGTCTTAAATTATCATATAATTTAATTATGAATACACTCCTTCTGAGAAATAATTTTAAAATTCCACTAAATTCAATTACTATTAATATAATACTTTAGACATATAATACTTTAGACATGCTGAATTGAGATGCTTCAAAGTTATCTTCCCCAAATCACCTGAGTAACAAAAAATGCAAAAATTTTTAAAAACTTGAAAAATAATAAATCTGATGGTAAAATCAATAGTCACAAAGAGCAGATAGGACTGTGGATAGTTTCAAGGTGGTCAAGGGCACTAAAACTCAAACTATAATAAAAACATCAATAACAAAACAGAACAACTCTTTCTAAGCATTTCTGATGTGCCAGGCACTATACAAAGTTCTTTATATCTATTACCTCACACAAAACTTGAAGTTCTACAAGGTCAACAGTCTTATGCACACTTTAGAGATACTTTAATACAACTGTTTCAAGATACTAAAAAGTAGATGGAGGAGTACAAGCTGACTAAGGAATCATACCACAATGTATATGTAGCAGGTAATGCTGAAAAGCTAAGAACAGAATTATATAAAGAATCAGAACTTGAATGCATCAAGTACCTCGCTAAGAGAGAAAAGTAAGATACATGGCATAACACATGAGGAGAGGTTAAAAGACTAAATAAATGAAAATCAAAACCCCCAAGTACAGAACTCTACCTGCTAGATATCAACACCCCAGACAACAAACCAAATCCAAGCAATCTGGCCCTAACATTCTTGTTTTTAATCACCACATTTTACTACTACTCGTAAATAAGAGTAGATAAAAATCAAATCCATCCCAAAGAGCACACAAAGGTGGGATGAAAAGGTTATGTCAGAAAACAGCCTGTATAACTATACCAATATCAGAAAAAAAGAGACTTTAAAGTTAAACACATTATTAGAGAAAAAAAAGGTCAATACACAATGATAAAAGACTCTACTCACCAAGTATTACATACCTAGTAATAAACGTGCCCAGTATAAAAATATATAAAGTACAAGTTAACACATCTATAAGGAAAAAATGACTAATACATAGTAAGTTAATACATATAAGCTCCTTAACATAGTGCCTGGACTATATTAAGTACCATATAACAGTTAGCTATTACTATAAAAATATATTATAAACTCTCAGGAATTCATAGATCAAGCAGATAAAGAATAAATAGCTTTATAATTTATTTGCACCTGTTTTTTTTTTTTTTTTTTTTTGAGACAGAGTCTCACTTTGTTGCGCAGGCTAGAGTGAGTGCCGTGGCGTCAGCCTAGCTCACAGCAACCTCAAACTCCTGGGCTCAAGCAATCCTCCTGCCTCAGCCTCCCGAGTAGCTGGGACTACAGGCATGTGCCACCATGCCCGGTTAATTTTTTCTATATATGTATTAGTTGGCCAATTAATTTCTTTCTATTTATAGTAGAGACAGGGTCTCACTCTTGCTCAGGCTGGTTTCGAACTCCTGACTTCGAGCAATCCGCCCGCCTCGGCCTCCCAGAGTGCTAGGATTACAGGCGTGAGCCACCAAGCCCGGCCTGCACCTGTTATATGAATGTATATTCATGCATTCTTTTCAAGCATGTATTAGCCACATGTGGCCCAGCTTACTAGACCACAAAGCAAATCTCAAAAATCCCAAAGAATCAATATCATATAGAACTGAAGTCCCCAACCCCAGGGCCGAAGCCCAGTCTAAGTCCATGGCCTGTTAAGAAGTATCACCACCTGAGATCTGCACCACCTCCCCACCACCCACAACATCCAATGCCCCCACCCTCAGTCTGTGGAAAATTGTCTTCCATGAAACCAGTCTCTGGTGCCAAAAAGGTTAGGGACCACTGAATCATTCTCTCCAACCATAAAGGAATTCAATTAGAAATCAGTAATGGAAAGAAACTCAGTAAAATTTCATATGCATGGAAATATACTGACTTATTTTTATTTCTTTTCTTTTCTTTTCTTTTTTTTTTTTTTTTTTTTTTGAGACAGACTCTTGCTCTGTTGCCCTGGGTAGAGTGCAGTGGTGTCATCATAGCTCACTGCAACTTCAAACTCCTGGGCTCAAGCAATCCTCTTGCCTCAGCCTCCCAAGTAGCTGAGACTATAGGCATGTACCAACATGCCCAGCTAATTTTTCTGTTTTTTTCAGTATATAAACAGGGTCTCACTCTTGCTCAGGCTGGTCTCAAACTCCTGAATTCAGGTAATCCTCCCACCTTGGCCTCCTAGAGTGCTAGTATTACAGGCATGAGCCACCATCCTGGCCTATATGGAAATTTATTAATAAAAGCATACTTCTAGATAACACAAAGATCAAGTATTATTATTAATATAATGGAGTTTAGAAAATATATTAAAACCATATAATGGAAAAAAACATCAAAACTTGTGAGAGAGAGCTAAAGTAATACTTACAAGAATATTTATGGCTTTAAATGTTTATGCTGAAAGAAGAAAGGCCATCTTCTCTAAAGAGGTTATTGGATTGGGTCACTATTAGAATTAAGTACACCACTGAAAAATCCTAATTGTCAATGGCCAGAAGATAGAGCCTTCAATTTAGAATCCAAAATTAAAATATATATATATTTTAGAGATCTCTTATTCTGAAAAATTCACAGAATGGTTCAGTTTTTAAAAGGACAAGTTTACAGTTCAGTTTTATATATGAAAAAGATTAAAAAAAAAAAGGACAAGTAATAGTGTTATGACTAGCCTTAAAATTTTTCTTTAGGCTATTTTTCAATTAGCCTATGATAAAACTGGCTTTGTTGTAAGTCATTTCGCTTAAAGTCACAGTCTCCAAGAACTTACTGGCGATGTTAAGTGAGGACTTACTGCACATAAATAAAAAGAAGAAAATAATCCAGTCACCCAGAAAACACTAACACTGTTAAATGAATACACACAAAAAGTATATAAACAATTTTCTTTTTCAAGACCATTTGCAATTTACCTTTACCACTCGATATGATTATTTGCCCTATATCACTAAATATCATTAAAAATTTATACTAGTAAAAGATATCTAATGCAAATTGAGTACCTATCATTAGCCAAGCACTATATTAGCACTTTGCCTAAGTTATTTCATCCTCACAAAAACCAGTGAGGAAGAGGAAGCTATCATCATGCCCATATTACTGATAAGCAAACTGTTAATATTTAATGATATTAAGGATCACAGGATATTAAGCATGATGGTGGGCAGAAACTAGTGCTGTAGGAACTCTCTCCCCAAATCAATAAGCACATGTCTATGAAAAAAATATTTTGGGTATACAAAAACTAAATTAAAAGAAGTATACAAACATATTTAAAGTGAAGTTGAAAATCGTGACTTTGATGTGACTAAAAAGGAAAGCCTCATGTTTGACTACTACATTAGAGACGAATAATTAAAACAACCTGCAGCAGCACTGTTGAGCTTTCACAAAAAGTTAAAAGTTTGTAAATCCCTTTCATAATTATAGGATTTGAGGTTTCTCATCTGTGACCATCTTTCTGAATGTGCTGGTGTACCCCTTCCTTTGTATTTTCCTGAGAGGAAGAAATCCCTCCGTGAGTGGAACAATACCCTCAGTACCATGTGATGTAAGACTATTGCTTGGTTTAGGGCCACTGGGAATTATACACACCTGTTAATGGGGAGAAATATGGTCCTCCAATCTGGTCAGATTATGCAGAAGCAAATTACAGGTAACCCTTACTCTTTGTTTCGTGCCCCTCCACTTGGCCTGCCACTCACAAGCACATTCCAGACACATGAGGAGAAACTTTTTATCCAACACTTTGAAAGAGTTGACTAGGAAGCTTATGGGTGAAATCTGTAAAGAGTAATTATTGTAGGTAAAACTCATTCTAAGATGGTTCTTTCTTTTTTTTTTTTTTTTTGAGACAGAGTCTCACTTTGTTGCCTAGGCTAGAGTGAGTGCCATGGCATCGGCCTAGCTCACAGCAACCTCAAACTCTTGGACTCAAGCAATCCTCCTGCCTCAGCCTCCCAAGTAGCTGGGACCACAGGCATATGCCACCATGCCCGGCTAATTTTGTGTATATATATTTTTAGTTGGTCAATTAATTTCTTTCTATTTTTAGTAGAGATGGGGTCTCACTCAGGCTGGTTTTGAACTCCTGACCTTGAGCAATCCGCCTGCCTCGGCCTCCCAGAGTGCTAGGATTACAGGTGTGAGCCACCACGCCCGGCCCTAAGGCGGTCTTTCTTAGACCTCATTCATGAAAGTGTACTTATTAAAGTACCATAATACCTTTGTTTCAAAGGTCACTTCACCTATAAAGACATGGTTTGCAACAATATTGCAAAATTTA